AAACTCAGCCAGGTGGCGATTGTCCTTAAGTGGTGGGGGGGCCGACGCAGTGGCAGATGTGGAGGGAGGACTGAGACCATCCAGTGTGGGAGCAGAAGAGGGTGACAGTTGAGCAGCTAACTCCCCCTCAGAAGGTGACACAAGAGGGCTGAGACTTTGGGCAGGACCAGAACGAAGAGCGTGACCACCTGATACATAAACAGGGACAGGCAGAATGGGGCCTTTGCTATTAATATGTCTGCATCCAAAACAACATTGTGTACCACTAATAAAATCATCCCCGATCGGCAAGCCGTTTGCATCTCAAAATGAAGGAAGATGACGACGTCTAATTCGGGTAGAAGGAGACGGTCGTTCACCAAGACAATAACAACTGCATTGTGATGACCCCATAAACCTTCCGAGATATCAATAGAAGGAGACTCCACACTTAAAAAATAGAACTGCAGCGGCTATTTGGATTAAAGGTGAAATTTCGCCAACAATCTTTGCAAATTACCATGACCTGGGTGACTGAGAGTATACATGGGTACTAACGAAATACATTCTCTCTAATCCCAAAACTTTGAATGAAGCTTCAATATTACCTGACATGGAGCGGACCCGTATGCGTGTGGCTCTGCTTTGTTGCTGATTCGATTGGGACTCGAGTTTGGCTGGTGCCTCTTTAGTTATTCGGGTGTGTAATGATGGATCAGATCTGCTGGGTCACAAAGAAAGACGCTAAAACAACACAAAGCTACACCGTGATGATCGATAATAGTGACCAAGTGAAGGACCTGGTCATTTCCCCTCCTCCTCCTAGTCGATCAGCCACGTCCAGGCCCAGCAGTGCTTGAGTGCGAACCCCTCCGCTGGTCGTGATGGTCACCAGCTTATTGCCCACCAGCCAAGTCATACTGCGACCTCCGGCAAAGAGGAACTCTGCGATTGGAGATCTAGGAGGAAAATCAAATGTGCAAATTATGGAATACAAGTGGCACAAAACCACCCAAAAATAAATAAATCAAAGTCCTCACTTACCTTTTGGGCAATGCTGAGAAATTGGAAAAGACATATCGTGCCATCATGTCCAGACATGTTTCAGTGAGTTCCAAGTGGACTGTTTTCAGCCCCTCATCTGCCAGAGTTACTGCATTTTCATCAGCGGATCCCAGACTGCAGGTGGTGGTGGACGTTTGCATCCTACAGGACGCAACAACAAGGCAGAGGAACAAGAGCAAAGCAGAAATGCAATCAGTAAACGACACATGACATCAGACTTTAATTCAATATGTTGTCTATCCAAACAGAGATATCTAAGTATTGAGTGCATTATGGCTATACAGCACTAGCATGCATGTACAATCACCAACAAAAGCACAAAACAAACAGACGCATGCTTAAAGTGACGGTTTCGTGCAGGCCACAACAGCACATTAGCTCTTGCTTTTTAGTTAAGCAAACTGGATAAGAGGCGTGATATTGAATACTGTTCATGTTGAATCACGTTTATACGGGAGTTTGGTCAAAAATAGTCAAACACAAGTACCTCAAAGTCAGATTGTTTTGTAAAATGTGAAATGGTTTCAGTGATTCAATTTGTGGGATTAAGGGTTGATTTTGGAATAGGAGTCATGCAAAAGTGTCAGAAATGTCTGAAATCAACACTAAATTGTTTAAACAATATACACTTACCTTTGCCTCTGCTTAATTCTTACATTTCCCTTTTCAACAGCTACTCAAAATTCCAAATGACTGTGAAATGAGTGCCGTCATGTATCAACTTGTTGCGCAGGTGTTAAAACGACATATTTGAAGCCATTCATCAGATCAGAGGAAGTAGGTTAAAAAAATTACATTGCAGTTGTGTACTTCAAATCAATTCTGTTTTACCGCTCCAGCACACCCGCGATCCTCTTGAGGAAAAGCGGCTCCAATCATGGATGGTGTTATGCTTTGAAATTATCATAGTTTACAGTAATTAGAAAGGTATTTCTGCCACTTGTTGAGCAGGAATGATATGACACGCTGAAGTGGGAGATCTGTGTATCTGACAACTGCAATGTAGAAAATATATGAGGCACACAGAAGCTGGTCAACAACGAAAAGCTCAGCATAGAAGGCATGAAGAATAGAAAGGCCGAAACATGTGCAAGTGCGACTCTGTGTTGAGGTTGGAATTGCTCCAGTTTGTCCCCAAACCGTATCACATTCAGCCCAGCTAGTCCCAAAATCCCACTCAAGGAGATTGCCAGGGTCAAAGCAGCATTGTGCGTCTTTGTGAGGTGAGTGATGCAAAAGGACAACCAACATGTCGAGCAAACAAAGGATGATTTTGTTGCTGCTTTCCCCATCACTGATCAAGTGACCCATCAGGAAAAAGGAGCATTGGAGAATGCATTTGCTAGTCCAGAGAGTTTAAGATCACATTACTTTGGATTCGCATGCTTTTGTCCTCTCCCATTTATTGTTAAAAAGCCAACCAAACCCAGTCAGGTTCAAACCAAGCCAAACAACCAAGTAAAAAAAAAATAAAAATTCTAATGATACAAAAACATGAGTGTTGGCACAAAAACAACCAGAAAAACATCCACATGTTTCAAGATGCTTTCCAGTGTCTTCTGTAAACACTGCAGCATGCAAAAAACAACAAAAAAAAATCTACAACAGCAAGTGTATGATCGCAGCACACAACAGACAAATGTTTGGCACACTTTCTGGCATGCAGGTGTCCCTGGCAATAAATGCCCACCCATCAGAATGACAATGACCAAACACCCCATCAACCATCCCATGGAGGAGACAATCAAACGATTGGTAGTTGTTGTACTTCAGTTTGGTTACCCAGAGGACTGTCTAACCTGCGGACCGCATGATCGGAGACACTGATGCTGCGGGATCGGAAAGCATCCATGGCTGACAGGTCCCTCAGCTCTTTAACTGGAGAGCTGCTGCTATTGGCTACCACCGCTGCCGCCTTCGCCACTTTTGCCGCCCGAAGACTGGGCGGTGATGGATACCACGGCGAAGGGTCGATGGGAATAGGCATGGGTGGAGGTTACAGTGGCGGTGGGTGGTAAGGGGGTGAGTCAACGTCAAGGTGGTGGTGGTTTAGGGGTGATGGGGCATGTGGTGTGTGATGGTATATCAGGAGGCCGTAGGAATCATCCCCCAAACGCCATAGCAACATGAGCATGTGACCGAGCAGCACACACCACACACCGGGGAGGGAGAGGGAGGGGCGGTTTACGGAGCGCAAGGCCACAATGTCAAAGGGTAGAGGTCACAGGAGGAGGAGGGATAGAGGGGTAGGGGATATGTGGAAGGAATCCAGGATGACACGACCACCCCCAAAAACCACAACCGCAACACAGCGCCCAATCGCAGGAGGCAGGGGAGGTGCCAAATGAAAAATTGAAAGAAAAACAAAACAAAACAGGGAGAAAATTAACAGCAGTTGAACATTATAAATCAGATTACAGAAAAGCGGAGAACTTAACTGATAAAAAAGATAATTAAGAGGAAAAACAGACTACTGTGGAGGGTAAAAATGCTTATTTGGAAATAAAATAAAAATGGAATCCAGGAGAGTAATAAAATAAATTATTTTGCACAATGAAGACAAAGATTTGGTCAGAAGAAAGACGAACGAGAAAGGAACTTAAGCACAAGAAAACAGAATCTGACTGATCTGAATTCTGAACACCACAGATAGACGGCATCACAAGATGATTGTTGCGGATTGAGAGACCTCCATTTTCAATTAATACACACTGGAAATTACGCAAAGTAAGCAGACTAGCATTAGCGGTGTCAGCATTCACATAATCACTTCTCACAAAGGTTAGGTTGGACTGTCAGACTTGAGAGAGAATCTATCAGTCTGTTTAATTAAGTTTGTGCTCAATCATGAATGAAATATTGGTGACATGAATACTGCACATATCACAATAAGCCATGAGCAGACCAAAGACAACAGTACGAGTGATTTTATGGTGTATTGAGGTTCCCTGCAGTAGCAGATCTCTACTTGGTTTGTGGAGGTATGGATTTTTTAAATGCATTTGAATTGTGAAAATAATCTTTGCAAAAATACACACGCACGCACGCAGTCTGAAAAAAGGGGGAAAGACACACTAGATGGCTCCTTGCTCAAAAAAAGCTTCATTATTTCCCTGTATGAGAAATACACTGGATTTCTCATTGCGCGCATGCAAACTCATGACATGACATGATGTCAAAGTAGAGGTAGGGAAATTATTTTTATCTTTCAACATGACAACAAAGTATGTACTTTTATAAAACACAGGTGATGGACAAGAAAAACACCTGCATGATATTGCCTGATGGAATTTGACACCGCAGGCCTGTGCCTCATCAAATGACAAATATTTTGTCACCCATATCTGTGTCATCTTGTCCACCCACTGCGCACAAATTCAAAAGTGTAAAACAAACCTATTGAAAATATATTAATGATCACCTGAGGTTCCTCATTGCAAAACCCAATACTCTTGTTACCTTGGCAAACCCCAACTTTTTTGCACAACAGCGCATGGTGCTTCTTGCTCCCGAGTTACGGCCCCACTAGCAAATGCGTCGGTATGTATTCTTTACCTTTTGGGTCTTTCATTGAGGCTTGTGCTTCGGGCACGAAAAGAACTCTGCTCGTGGCCATCATCGAATGGCAGCAGGGCATTGGAACGCAAACCCTGGGAGAAGAAACGTAAAGCAATGCTGCAATGATTCATTGACAACAAATTGATGAGCAAATGAATAGATCGATATTTTTGATAATCGATTAATCATTTAGAGACCTTGTTTCAGTTCAAATTGTAAAAATCCTCAGAATTTCAGGCTCCCAGCAGTAAATATTCTCAGATTGTTGTCTTTTTTCAAAATAAAACATTTGCAAATATCTGCTTTTACTTTGGAAAACCATTATCTGAATTCTGACATGTTACACATTTCACCAGGAACTGAATCATAATTTATATTTGTGAATTTTCTGAACTGTCAATTGGACATAAGGCCTATTTTTGAATTAAAAGGATGGAAATTAATTATTAATATTTTAAAATCCAATTCGTCAACAAAATAATCAACAGATTCATTGATAATTAAAATGCTCATTAGTTGCAGTCCTGAATGTGTCAAAAGTAGAATACATCATATGGGGTAGCTCGAAGAAAAATAAAGCTTGAAAGAATTTATGTCATGACTGAAATGTTATTAAATCAATGTAAAAAGAAAGGATGACAACACTGATCGACAGCAAATTTTAATCAGAAATGGCTTTGTGTGTCCCTTAACATTTTTTTGACGCTGATTTTAAATCGGTTTGCTTTTTTTTTCTAGAGCATCGAGTTTTTTAGATATTTTCTTTTTTGGGGGGTTTTAAAGTCTGACTTACAAAAGCTCATGCAACACAGATTTTACCATGTGTTCATTTATAGATATGTTTCAGGAAAAAATTCCACCTGAAGCGGAACCTAACCGTTAATTTATAAATATTCATATTTTTCTTTTCTTCTTATTATTGTTATTTAATGAAAACCTGATGTGCAGGAGAAAAAACAAGGTCAGATTCAGAATCAGCTCAAAAAAAATATTTAGACCAGTTTACTTTCATCTATGATTAAAAGATTTTGTGAAATTTGTTGACCTGACTTACTTAAGGAGATCAAGTCACGCACCTTTGTGATATACTGAACAAAATCTTTACGGAAGGCAAGTCTGCAGCGGATAAACCACATAGCAATCACATGGTGGGCGAGAGATACGATGTACTGGTTGAACCTGACAGAAATGGTAAAAAGTAGCGTGTCAGAGTGTTTTGGGGAGCTGAGAATGTTTTTGTCTTTGTGAGCACTTACTTGGACGGGTTAGTGTAGGGTAGCGAGATCGCAAACACGCTAACATATTGCTCAGCTACAAAGTTGGCGTAAAGGTGAGGTAGGCGCACCAGAGCTATGGAACAGAAACAAGACACCAGCCAAACCCTTTAATTGGGCTGCTTCGTAACTGACCGTGAGCTTCTAACATTGGTTCCATCGTGTTTGTGGTACTCACTTGAAAGGAACTCAAGCATTGGAGATGCCATGGCAACTGTTGCAGAGATGTGGGTGAGCTTGACAATAAGAGCGGGTAGCAGCTTGATCATGATGTCAGGCATCTCCACCGTGCACATTGTGAGAGCCACCACACATTGCTTGGCGCAGCGGTAAATGAGGCCCGTCTCAAGACACTGGACCAACTCCCTCTGTAAAAGAGACGACAGAAATGCCATTGCAGCTGATCGTCTGGAACTGTTCAACTCTGTGGAAATAGGAGTTGTTCCGTATGTGTGGACGATTAATAGGAAAAAAAAAAAAAAAAAGAGCTGAAAGGTTTCGCGCAACCTGTGTTTAGCGGTCAAAGACTGTTTCAAACGACGGATTTGTACTTGTCTTGATTGCTCCAGGTAGGTGTGGTAGGAGGTGATTGCTGTTAAGACGGGAACCACTGCCAGCTGAACATCTGTTCTTGAAAATCCCTCTGGGGTCTTCTTCAAGCGTTCTGAAATCAGCCGGTCTGTCACCTACGTGCAGAAGAAACAATCCTGAGTTGTGTCACAGTCAAGGTGGCTTTGATGGTTGACATGCATGGTTTGACTGGGAATGTACTACCATGCAGCACAGAGTAGAACAAAGGTGATCTAAGCTGCAAGGTGATGTTAGCAGCAGAACTTTGTACTGCAGCGTCCACGGCAACTTCTCCAAGACCAATTTCACCACCTTCCAATCTGTTTCCTGCAAAATTAAAACAAACCTTTATTCATAAATGTTCACTTTAAAGTATAGAAATGTAATTTGTGTGTGTGTGTGGTGCACGCTAGCAGTGCTCAATTGCTCACGCGCGCAGCTGAGAGGGAACAGTGTCTGTGGCTAATGTTAAGGGTGTGGAGAAAAGACCGTATGCATTGCAGTGAGCTGGGAGACAAACAAAGGCAGGAACCTTGGCGGTCCGATCCCTGGCTACAGAAGCTGGTTCTCGGGATGTGGAATGTTACATCTCTGGCAGGGAAAGAGCCTGAGCTGATACATGACGACTCGCCTCAAAACACAGCTGGATTTCTGTGCTAAACAGATTGTCCAGAACGAACACTATGTTCAAACATGAGGGTGTCCATATATGCACTTGGCACCTGGACCCCCCGAGACTGCAGTTTGATGACTGACTTTGTGGTCATGTCATTGGACTTGCAGCTGCATGTCCCACCAGGAGGAGGAGGAGGTCCCGGGTACGACCCAGGACATGCTGGAGGGACTAAGTCTCCTGGCAGGCCTGGGAACGGCTCAAGATCCACCCCCAGAGGAGCTCGGACGAAGTGGCTGCTGAGAGGGAACTCTGGGCTTCCCTATTAAGCTTCTAACCCAACGACCCGACCTCAGATAAGTCAAAGAAAATGGATGGATGGATGGATGAATGGATGGATGGATAATCGTGTACCATCTTGAGGCACTGCAGGAGAACACTGAAAGCAGGTGAGTAGGGCAGGTAGGCAAAGCGTATCGGTGCAGTGACAGGAAGAGGAGGAGCTGTGGAAGGAGGAGCGCCGCTGGCAGGGGGGGACGTTGGACCTGGAGGCTTCTTCTCGTTTGCTCTTTTTTCTGGCTCTCTGAATCATTGAAAGACACGAACATGAAATAAATCAGTGTGTGTGTGTGTGTGTGTGTGTGTGTGTGTGTGTGTGTGTGTGTGTGTGTGTGAGAGTGCACTGACCCTATATCACAGTAGCAATAAGGGCTGAACCTCATGGCACCATCTTTGTTGGGAACACCAACGCGATGGAGAGAGTCTGCTCGCATCATCAAGAAGAAGTCAAAGACCTAAAGACAAGCGGGCGTTTTGAAATCAAGACAACTGGCCAGAAATTAAATCAAATGTCAATGAAGTTGCACTTTACCTGCAGTCTGATACTTGACGCAATTGCAGAACAGTACTTGTTCTTGTAGTGGAGGTGCAGGTGGCTGATAAGCATTTCATAAACACGAGTGGCGTGGGTGGCTGGTAGACTGTAAAGTTTGCTCTAGAGATGGAAAACAATTTATACCATTCTTAATCTAATAAGCAAAAAAAAAAAATACATTAAATATGAGTTCAATCAAGAAACTGGTGTCATGTTTTCTGTAGGGTATGACAAATAACAACAAAACGTAATTTAAATAACGGATTTGCAGCTTGCATTTAGTTTTTGGTAAATTGATCTGTCAAACTATTTTTTTAAAATATATTCCTTTCAGTGGCTTCCATCATCTACATTGAGTTATTTAAAATATAATAGCCTACTTCTACGAGTGATAACTATTAATCTACCTGCAGAATCTCAAGTAGTCCCAATATCGCAGTCTTGACGTCCTCCATTGGAGACTCCGTTGCGTGCTCCCTCTCCGAAACATCCACAGGGCCTGAACACACCAGAGGTCGGCTGGCAACCTAGAATGCAGTAATCAGAGGATACTTGATACGGATGATTGGTTAAGATGTATTGTTTAATGTGCTCGTACCCGCTCAATAATGTCCAACAGGCTAGTGAAGTGGTGAGTGTTACAGCCCTCAGCCAAGTCCACCAAAAGCTGGGTCGCTTGTTTTCGTACGGCCAGGTCTCGGTCGTCAGCGATTCCACTAAGCTGAGGGATCACTACCATTTCTATCAACTCATCCTAAAAAGAGAAAATTATGAATTTCTAATTTAATTAGGGTTAATTACAACAATGTATTGAATCATGTTAATTCATTTGCAACCCTTTTTTTACATTTAATTCCTTAACTAATTACAGTATAATGGCACATCTGTGACAGCATATGCGAAACAAAAATTAAGAGCACAAGAAATGTGAAATGGTGAAGATTGGTGCAACACAATATCAAAATAGCATACATACCTCATACAGTTGGCGGTTGGTGCTTAAAACAAAAGACAGGATGTGAAGCACTTTGATCCTGATCACGCTGCGGCTCTCATTTCTTGAAAGGAGATGATGTACCAGGACCATTTATGAGGGTGCACGTGGGACTTAAGAAAGTGGAACAAATGATAGTATCAGTGTGGTCATCCCACCTGAAGAATTTCTCCATCAGTCGGTGAAGGCTCTGAATCCAGCCATCCTTGGCGGGCTGAATGGACTGGGCCCTGTACGAGATGAGGGTCAGCACCGAGGCATCCTTTTCCAAAAACATAAAGAGCAAGAGGGACAGTGATGCTACAGTATTGGGAAAAAAAGAAAAAAGAGCTGCCATTAGTATGTAAGGAGGTGCAAGACACACCGGTCTTTTGTCGGCACACTTCTCCACTAGCGCGAAGAACTTCTCTGTGGAACCATGGTAACCATTCTGCTCATAAAGCTCTTCTACTGTTGTCAACAGCTCGTATACGATGGCCTTCAGTTCAGGACTGCCTATAGCCTATAAGGATAATACAATACATCTTTATTTAAGATAAGAGATAAGATAAGAAATCCTTTATTCGTCGCGTAATGGAGAAATTCCCAATTCAGAGCAGCAAAATTATGAAGAACAACAACAACAAAATATAGGAGCTGCTGGAAAGGCAGCCACTCTCGCGGCGCCATCTTGAAGTCAAAATAAAAATATAATTTATATAGCGCTTTCACAATAGCTGCAGCTGTAACAAAGCGCTTTGCAGAACAGTTAACATACAATAATATAATAAAACACAACACTGTGGAAATTGTAGAAACTCGAAGAAAGCGACAATTTCTCACGTTCGCACTCCGAGAGAGAGTGTGGTTTTTTTATTATTTTCACCCAAAAAACTCCCGCGCCAAACGAGACCCGCCGAAAGTAAGTTTCCATAGCAACAAACAGACTAACATGGCGGTCCTTAAAGGGACTGCGATTATTTCTACCCCGTTACCAAATAATCGTGAACTTTCTGACGAGCATATGAAAACATTGCATTCACACGTTTGCAGTTGGTGGTGAATTGTGTAAATAGGAGTCACTACAACACATAACATAATGGACAAAGTCTGGGTAAAACGGCTATTTTGCATGTCTGCCTCGGATGTATGCGCACATGTACCTGAATCTGCTGCAAAAGCCGCTCTATGATGCCCAGCAGAATGTCCCAAGTAACAACTTGCAGCTCCTTGCCGTATTTCTTGATCAGACGGGTGATAGAGAGGACGATTTCATAGGATACTACCTCGTTGGCACACGACATGGCCTTAGTGGAAGAGAACAAATCATAGCAGTCACGTTTATTATTTTCCATGTACAAACCCTATTCCAATGAAGTTGCCAATGTCACACGCATATGTTGATTACCTTGTAAAAAGAAGGCAGAACCAATGTGGGGGTGTTTTTAAGGGAAGGCAGCCTGTGTGCTCCCCACAGTGCCATTCCAACAAAGAACACAGCTCCTCTCAATAATGGTGCATCTTCCATGTACACCCTGATGGACAAGACAGGAGGTGAGGGACGCAAACTCAAATGAGGGCACCATACCAAACTACAAAAAGACATTCAAGATTCAACATACTTGTCATGTGCCCAGCAAAAGCCCCATGGTAACACTGAGCAATGAAATTCATGCTCTGGTAATTTCCCCACAAAAAACAAAATGTATATATAGCATATAAATAATACGGGTGGCATGAGCAATGAACATAAGAACAATTTTAAAAGGCAATTTAAAAATGTTATTTATTAGTTTAGATGCAAAATTGTTTAGGTGATTTGCAAAGACGCAATCATTCGGTCGGCTATCCAAATACTACAGTTTGCAGAGATATTGCACAGAGTAGACAATGAATTATGTATGAGCGGGAGTACAGTATACAAATATTGCAGTGTGGTTCACAGTTCTAAATTGCATGTCTTCCTGGGAAAGGGGAAAAGAGGAGTCACAATACCTTTCTTCCATTATGCGGCACATTCTGTAAATAGCACTGTGGCCAAGGTGAGTGCCCAGCACTTTCCTCATCAACTGGAGAAGCAGGGGCAGCACGAGACAAACAGAAAACAAGAAGATATGGCAGTTAATTGGTTGTCCTTGAATTAAGAGCCTCCATCTGCATCTCTACTTACCTTCCAGCAGGATTCACAGAACTCCTTGACATTGACTGTATGGCACAGTGTGACGATGAAGACACAAAGAGAGTCTGAGGGGAGACAGTTGTAACACACCACTGCATCAAGAACTTGGAGAGCAACCTAAAACACAAAAAACATTATGATCATTCCATTCCAAAAAGGCCACGCAAAAGTTGTCTTTCCCAAAATGTCACGACGACTCTAAGAAAAGCTTGTGACCCTTGATTCAAGTCGAATTGTCATGTCCTGCATCAAAATCGGTCAAATTGACCTACATTCTGGACAACTCAAGTCAAAGTAACCAACCTCAATATCTGTTGACGAGGTCGTTCTGGTGCAGAGAAAACAGATTTTCCTGCAGAAGAGCAAACATTTAAATTAGGGGTGGCTCGATCTGACATCGGTAACGGATATCAGCCCAATATCAGCCCAAAAAACAATTTCTGTTTATATTGGTCTCCAAAATCTCCGGTATTAGCGCTCATATATAAGCAGTCCATTGCAGACTGCTCTCTGGCAGTGTGAATGTAAAAAAAAAAAAAAAAAATTTAATTTTAAAGACAAAAAAATTAGGCTCAATGTACTGAAGTGAACTTCAGTACACTGTGGGTCTGTCTCTGTGCGGCCCAGTACCAAATGGGTCATGGCTCGGCATTGGTTGTTGGGAACCACTCCTCTAGGCTGCAATATCGGTATCGTATCGGAAGTGAAAAGGTTGCATCAGACAACGCTTATCTAAATTGTAGCAAGTTAGAGAATAGGGCAGGTCAGTAGCATTGGCTGTGTGACTTACTGGACCATGATGGAGACATTTTGGTCCAAGTAACAGCTGTTGAATTTCACCAGATTGACAAGAACATGAAGAAAGTCAGAGGTGAGACCGATGTCCATCCACAACAGGACAAAGCGAGCTGAAAGGACAAAAAAAGAAATGAGACAGTATTTGAATGATAACTGTACTAAAAAGGTGAAACTTGCGAATTAACACAAAGAGCACCGTTGATTACTACATCCAGTATGATGAAGACCTCGACAATGACCCAATAGAAGCATTTATAAACTCACCTATGTCCTCCTCAAGGTATGTGATGTCCTTCCCGTTTTCAGTTAAGGCCTTGAAGACCTCCAGTCTATCGGAAAGATCTTCGTTGCATGGTTGGTAGTCTTGGATCACCTTGAAAAAGTAAGCTCTCAGGGCCCCGAGGTGCTCACCCTTCCAAAAGGAAACATGAATACATCTCAGGAAATACATCAGTGAACATTTTCAAGGCATTCGTTGTATGTATCAACCAACCTGTCCCTGGATAATGGCCCTGAGCAGCTGAAGGACAGCATGCCGGGCCTCGGGAGGCTGTTCCTGTGTCAGCATGTCCTCTACAGATTTCCACACTGCCTCCACCGCATGCTGCGAAACGCATATCCGGTATAAATGTATGGTAGGTTTTAACAAATTCACATCAGGCATTCCACACAATATGGAAGCACTCACCTCTTCAAATCTTTTGGTTTTGGCAAGCTCACAAATATGATTCATTGTGCGAATGCGGTTACTTAGGCCGCATTCAGGGTGGAGCTCCTGGAAAGAGAAGTGGGGAGAGGGAGGTCAAAAATACAGTGGACATAAAAAGGTTCACACACCCCTGGTCAAATGCCAGGTTTTTGTGATGCAAAAAAATAAGACCAAGGTAAATAATTTCAAAACTTAAGTAAACTTTAATGTGATCTATAACAGCAATCTGACAAGAGGCTGTCATCGTGAAATTTTCTACAAAAAAAAACCCAAAACAAAACAATCGCACTTCCAACTGAAATGCAATGAGGGCAGGATTCCCCATTTGGCCAGGGAGTGCAAAATGTGCAAAATTTGCGTGGCTCTCCCGGTAGCAAGCATACTGAGCAAGAGGACTATTTTTCCCTCTGCCTAGAAAGGCCATCACCCAGCAGCGGGGCCAGCCCAGCCCATGTCCATGCGCTTGTGTTTAAAGTCTACATCAGCGATTCCCAACGTTTCTTGTGCCAAGGCACATATTTAAAGTTTTTAAAAAATATCACAGCACACCGCCAAACAAAAATGTTACAATAAGCAGATACACACATACATTACATACTTTGTGCTAATCTAATAGGAGATTCATGATTTCTTCAGTCCATTACTATAGGTCACTGGCATATATAGTTGCACAAAGACACATAATTTGTTATAAATTAAGCATTTTTTGACCAATTAAGTAGAATTTCACTATTTCCCATGGAAGACCTTAAGAGCTCTCACGGCAGACTAAGCTACCCCAGGGTGTCCCCCGCCTACTGCCTGATGACAGCTGGGATAGGCTTGAGCACGCTCACTACCCCTGTGAGGATAAGCGGTCCCGACAAAGGATGGATGGTACTGTATAAAAAATATCAAAGGCATTATCAGTAACTAGTTGACTCAACTTTCATCTTATTAGTGTCGATGTAAAAAAATAAAAAAAATCTCAAGTCGTATAACCCCTAGGACATGATGAACTTGAGAATAGGGCAACCATCTTTATAACATACCTTGATGATTTCAGTTGTAATGATAAACTCAGACGGTTTGTGGTCACTCTGCTTGCTGGGAGGACGTGGGGGTCCGAGCCCAAATATCCCCTTCACCTTGTCTTTTAAGCTTTCTTTGCTTGGTTGTTTATTCATCCTTAAGCGAAGTAGGGTGTGCAGGCTACAATGGAAGGCTGTGCAAAGAGAGTGAAACACATTTGGTGTGTTATTTGTGTACTGAGCCGTCACTATTCTGCAGCACATATTTCCACAGTGCAAGGCAAGAAATAATGAGACTGACTCACTCTTTTAAAAAGTAGACCTCATTCAAAAAAAATGTCAGCAACGAGAAGACTCGAACACTGGTCAACTGCAAATTTCAATCTTAGGGTTTTATGTGTCCCGAAATGTATTTTTGATACTGATTTTAAAAAAATGTCTCTACTTTTTTGAGCACACTGGGTTTTTGAGATATTTTCATTTTATGGTCTTAAATTTGACCTTTAAACCCTTGTGCAATATGGATTTTACCATGTATTGTAATTCATAGAGATGACATTTCAGAAAAAAATTCCACCTGTTGCTCAACCTGATCCTTAATTAATTAAAAAGAATATCACTAGATTACACATTATTGTGATTATATTTTTATTATGAAAACCTAGAGAAAAAACAAGGGCAGATTATGAATCAGCACAAAACAATTATTCTCTACTAGTTTGCATGCATCACTGATTTTTTTAAAAAACTGTAAAAATTTGTTGACCAGTGCAGTTAAAGACATTTGCACATGGCCATTAAATTAAAAATTTGTTGACCAGTGCAGTTAAAGACATTTGCACATGGCCATTAAATTTTAATTGAATGACTAAAAGTAATCACCACAAGAAAATCAAACATCTCCTTTCGTTAGCGTGTATCATAGATTTATGTGCGAAGTCTGATTTAAAATAGAGAATAGAGTATAATAGATTGCATTACAATCTCTTATTTTGTTCAACTTTTTGTGCATGCAACACTTTGTTTTTTCTTTTCTACCCCCCCCCCCACCCCAAAAAATTTTGCTGCTGTAGACTGCAAATTTCCCCAGTGTGGGACAAATAAAGGTTATCTTAACTTAAACTAAGGATAAACCATAGGTAAAACCAAATACCATGCAAAAAGTAATCACCACAAGAAAATCAAACATCTCCTTTCGTTAGCGTGTATCATAGATTTATGTGCGAAGTCTGATTTAAAATAGAGAATAGAGTATAATAGATTGCATTACAATCTCTTATTTTGTTCAACTTTTTGTGCATGCAACACTTTGTTTTTTCTTTTCTACCCCCCCCCACCCCAAAAAATTTTGCTGCTGTAGACTGCAAATTTCCCCAGTGTGGGACAAATAAAGGTTATCTTAACTTAAACTAAGGATAAACCATAGGTAAAACCAAATACCATGCAGTACAAAAATGTGGTTCAGATTAGGAAATACATCTCAATAATGTTTGCCATGTGCACTTGACAGAGAGAAGAGCAGAGAGAAATGTAGCTTCTCTGCTTTCATTGAACAACGACGTCGGTGCATGATCTTCTCCAGCCAGAGGACATGCACATCAATAGGACTAAACATGAAACTTGGCTCAATTAAGACAATTGCATCATGGCGCTGCTGACTGACCCGTTAGCTTTACCACTGCCTGCAGAAGGCTAGCATTCCTCGACTGGTAAACACCGCCCCCCTCGTCCCTCTCGCCTGCTTCTCCCCTCACCTTAGAGTTGAGTCCTTTTACGTGTCATTCAGTCACAGGTTCGTATCTACGTGCAGCTGATGGAGGTCTGGCCAGGTCTGTACATTGAATTGCAATTAAATAAACCCCGCGGGAGGGTTTCGTGTGGCAAGCACTGCACAGTCCTCCACTCGCCGATCGGATGACACACCGAAGGTCTGACACGGAGACTTCCGGCAAACAACACTTTTGCCGCGCTTACCCCTGGGAAATGTAGTCTACGACTTGAGAAACAACATTGCTCAGAAATACTTCATTTTCAGCCTACTATAATACTAAATATGTTTAATACAATGTAATAGTCACTTCTTATTGAATAATCATAAATATATTTTATTTTTTACTTTTTCAAAGCCGGTGTCATGTGTAGTATCAAAGAGTTTCCCACTTTTCCCTCCCCCTCCAAACACAACACTGACTTTTGTTCCGTAGTGTCCCAGCTTCTTCATGTCCGCCGCGCCGGAAGCATGTGCAATGCAGTGTGGTGTTTCAGAATGACCTCACCTTATTTCTCTCAAAATATGACTGCTGTCACTCGGGGATCTGAGAAGCTTGACAGCTGCACTGTTGCGGCCTCTCTCCGATCCAGACGAAGGGACGCGGATGTCGTTTCCTCGATGGCTGTCAAAGTAGAAGAGGAGGAGGCGAGAGTCTCCCAGAAAACAGCATCCTTGTCATCACCAGGTCGTTTTGAAATCGAAGTTATTCGATTGTTATTCCTTTATTCCTCCTGAAATGTTGTCATTGTGGAGACTTGTTTAGTTTCTTTAAGTGTTCTCTTGCAATGGCAACTAATGTGGTACTGTACTCCCAAGGAGCCCATAAGTTGTTCTGTGGTCCTGTTGAAAAAATAGCTCATCAGTGTTGGGAAATTGCGATTTCCTAGGAATGTTGTAGAAATGATCATTTGAAAATGTAAACACTGGGAGAGATTTATGTAAATTAATCATCGCATATTGCTATTTATTTATTATCAATGGTAATTTGAGCAGATTTGTTTTATCAAGTGTGTATTAAACTGCTAGCCCTTAGCATTAATCAATACAGTACTCTGAAACTAGCTCTGTTTCAAAAAGTGTAGTGACCCCTGTATCAGAGTATTCTACTGGAGGGAGTGGAGAAATCGAAAGAGAAATATCGCTACAATCATGATAATGAATACACCACCCAATATAAAAATAATGTAAAAAATATATCAATTCAAAATATCACCTCGGTGAACTGGAAACAAAAATAAAACACATAATAGCGCAGGAAAATACAACAATATATAAGAAAAATAAACTCGAAAATAGATCCACACACTTATTGCCAAATAATGCAGATGTTTTGTCTGAGCAACGTATGTTGAAATTAAACCAACAGCCTCTTGAGTAACTTCACAAATAATAAATAAAAATAAATGTATGCTTTGGACTATGTGGCTCAATCAATCGTTCTGCTTTGTACGTTGCTCTTCCTCCTCTTCAAGTTAAAATTTGTCATTCTCTCTCTTCAGATGGTAGTCAGGACCTCCTCCAGTTGGCCACTGCTCAACCAAAACTAGAATCAGATGCTCTGTCGCTATCTTCTCATGGCCGCAGGCGGAGACAGGTAAAGGTGGAGTACGATGAGGGTGGGTCATCAACGAAGACGGAACACTGGGAACCTCCTGACTGGAAGAAACAGTTGGGACACATTCGTGAGATGAGAAGCAGCCGTGATGCCCCAGTGGATAGCATGGGAGCGGAGAAGTGCTATGACACAGAGGCTCTGGCTAATGTTGGTGTATATATACGCTATACAGTATTCACATACTAATTTTAGAAAATCTTTACTTTGGTGAAGTTTTTCTCAATATGTGCCCTTCTTTATGCAGGTGAGACGCTTCCAAGTGTTGGTGTCCCTGATGCTGTCCAGTCAGACCAAAGACCAGGTGACTGCAGCGGCTATGCAGAAGCTCAGAGCTCATGGCTGTACTGCAGAAAAACTCCTGTCTACTGATGATGAAACGCTGGGAAAACTCATCTACCCAGTTGGCTTCTGGAGGGTAACGCCACAAAATCCACATTTCAAAGTTATTATCATAGGTGTGCTAATAAGTCATCTGCCTCCTTGACATTTCAGTTTCACTGTTCCTCTCCAGAACAAAGTCAAATATCTGAAGATGACAGCGGCCGTGCTCATGAAGGATTATGGAGGAGACATCCCAGACAATGTAGAGGAGCTTGTCCGTCTGCCAGGGGTAGGACCCAAGATGGCTCACCTGGCTATGGATATCGCCTGGGACCAGGTCTCTGGTATAGGTGGGGACGCAGGCTTAGCAAATGGAATCACTTTCAGATCAAATCAAGTGAAACTGCCTTTCAAAAAGACAGTGGCATTTTTATGTATACAAATTTGACGGACACCAACACAGCCATTGGAAGCAAGTCTACATCCAAGAAAAAGTACATACTTTAATATACTACACTTTTCTCGAAACCGTCACAAAGTATTGTAGTTGTTAGCCATCTTCGTAGAAGTCACAACATTTGGTCTTTGCTTGGTCATGGAATGCCTAAAGTGCGCTGATGTCATTGCACACAATTATTTCTATGCATTTGTGAATTTTAAAATGGCAAACATTAGGTTCTGTTAATAACTTGTTCCTAGGGGCAGAGTGCTGCCTCACAAACAACACACACACACACACACACACACACACACACACACACACACACACACACACATCAACAAATAATTATCATAAATTTCGCTGTGCACACAGGAAGCCCGCCAAACTACCGGTATTTCGAATTTGGTCACATGATGTTCCCCATAAGGCCCATTAGTACTCAATTGTACTGTTTTGCAAACCTTAACAGGAAAAATGTTGTTCGTTCTTGAAAGTGCTGTAAAATTATAACCATAACTCATCAATTGTCCATGCAAATGCTGATTTGCATATTTGACTCTGATTGACTAATTCTTCCATTAATTTTGTAGATGCTTCTCATCCTGAACCACTGTACACTGAAATGTGAAAATTCCACCGGGGGGATTGTGCTATTGCTTCCTCAGCAATCAAACACAATTATACACTGTTATTAAGCACCAAAGTTGCACATCTTGGTAGGCCACGCTGCTCACCCCAAAAGTGGAATGATGTGAAAGGGCTCAAATGTGTAAAAAGTATCATCATACTTGGTATGAAATGAAACTCAGAAAACCTTCAAATCTTGTGAAGATGTTCTCTAAAGCAATTTTAAACCCACCCATAGAGGGCGCCAAAACCATTTTAACTGTAAAAGCAAAGAGTTGACCTGACCCGCATGCCATTAGCTTCAAGTTCTGCACTCAGGTAAAACTAAATCACCACAAAACATAAACTCGAGGAACACAAATGTCATCAACAAAAAGTGCGGAACATACATGTAAATTAAAAATGGTCTCGCTTTTCATTGTTGTGCATTTACAGTAACTGGCCAAACTTCAATTTTCCACCTGCAGCCAACCCCCAAAAAAGCTAACTGAAAATAAGCAATCATTTTATCACATGTGGATTGTGCAGTCAGCTGTTAAATTGACTTAAGGACTATTTCACTGAATGTAAAATCTATATTTGCAAAATAATAGCCAATTAAGACGTTTATTTTACCTGGTTATTGTGATTTTTGCTCCTGGAACTTAGCATATAGCATCAGCGCATCAAGGCTTTAAGTATTCACCTTCATCTTAACACATGACTGCAACCTCTCACCTGTGAGACGATGTAAGCGATGTTTGTTTTTCATATAGTTCATGAGCATGAAGCATTCTGTTTTCTTCAGAAACTTTTCTTTGATATATGCTACCTACAGGGGTCAAATGTACAGTAGCTCATTAAATCTTGGTGTCACTTTTGACACATCGGTGCTTGTGACAAATATTTTTGGTGACCAAAAAAAACAAACAAACAAACAAACAAACAAAACTTAACCCTTCCTTGCACCCTGGAACCTGATAACATGATTAGCTATCCACTGTAGTAACCGCTGTCACAAAGAGTCCACAGCAGAAGAATGAAAGAACCGCATGTGGCTCTGGAGCCATGGGTTGCAGACGACTGTAAACGTTAAACACATCAATTATCCAAACTGGATTCTGGTCAAAAGTAATGGATTGCACCGTTAAAACCTGTTTGCTCATTTAGTATGTTTCAGATGCTGGCACAGTGTCAAAGCTTCTTTTGTTCCTACATGGTTGCAAACATTGCCAACGTGTGCACAATTTTTATTGGAAGTTGTTCAGTCATGGCCAAATGACGATAGAGCATCAAAAATGATTGAACTTCCTCTCACAGGTGTAGACACACACGTGCATCGGATCGCCAACAGGCTGGGCTGGCTGATGAAGCCCACCAAGAACCCAGAGGCAACACGCAAGGCATTGCAGGAGTGGTTACCCAGGTAAATTTTCACACGACACATCTGTTCAACAACTCTATGAATTATCAATAATATATCGTCCTTAATCTCTCTACCCAGTTTAGCTATAAATTCTACAGTAAACAAAAAAAAACATATCAGAATAAATAATGGTGACTGTTTTCATGCACAAAGGCTTTTTAATTAAATCGATCATTTCTGAAAGGTTTTGTGTTCACCAGGAATGTAACCGAACAAAAATAGCAATAACATATTTCCTGTTGTCATCTTGTGTTAATGCTCGATCATGCCTATACAGGGATCTGTGGAGCGAGATTAACTGGCTGCTCGTAGGTTTTGGACAACAGGTTTGCCTTCCAATCAACCCACTCTGCTCCATGTGCTTGAACCAGCATTGCTGCCCTTCCGCACACCAAAGCTCTCCTGCAAAGCTGCTTCGAGTTCGATCGCCGCACTCTCCCTGTCCGGCCTCTTCCTTCCAAGCAAAAACTGAATCTGGACAAGAAACTGTTGTTAAGGAGGAAAGAAAAAATGAAGAGCCGCAGAATGTTAAGCCTACCACACAGGGACGGAAACACAAAAGAAAGATTAAACACTAATTTGAAACCTCTTGGATTGCGGTTTATAACATACTGTGTACATTTTTAGGTACAACCCACCAAAATGCTTTGGGAGTCATAGGACCAAAACAAATCTCTGTTGTTGCTGCCTTGGGAAACACAAAACACCATTCACTTGGTACTTCATATCACAAGATTACGTTTTGTTTTTCTGTCCACTTCATTCTGTGCAACATCACACGTGAGGCAAGGCAAGTTTATTTGTACCCGCAGGAAACCACACCCTGAGGTTCTTAGAGCCTGCAGCGGTTCCTGTGGCTCTCACGTGTCAGATGCATATTGGCACTTCACCATGATGAGACAGCAGGGCTGTTCTGAAATTTATTCTCTGAGTGACAGGAAGCCAGAGCAGAGAGCAAAGCACTGGCCTAATTTCCTGTTTTTAGTCAGGATTTCAGCAGTAGCCGTCTTGTACAGTAGCTTGTTTAGAAAGCCCAGCGAGCAAGCCGTCACAGTTGGTGAGCCTGTTGGAGACAATTGCTTGAATTTATTTCTCCAACTCAGATTCAAGACACTATTCCTTTGATTTTTGGCAATTTTCTAGATGGTAAAAAGCTCCTGCTTTTATCGATTAAATGGACCTGCTAAAATTCTGTTCTGTGTCCAATATTACGACTCCATTTCACATTTGTTTAGTTTGACAGAGAAAATCCCAAGGAGACTGATAACACTTTCTCTTCGTTTGTGTGTACCACAGACAATGATTTTTTTTTTCTGAGTTTGTCTTTTGAAAATTGTTTTGCATTCATGCATTGATCTGCTCGATGTAGTGACAGAGTGAATCTAAAGGCCCACATCCTAGCAGTGACACTCAGATCTGAGTGTCACAATATTCACACGTGGCAATTGTCATGTGACACCAGGATGATGAGTTCACATGCAGCTCAATTGTTGAAGTTGCTGCTTATTTTTGTGTTTGTTTCAGGAGCTTCCTTGTCATTGTTGTATTGTGATGCCATTCATTCAATTTGTTGGATAGATTTACTGCAGTAGTTTGTCGTTATAATTCCCAATCGTTAATGAATCTTTGCAGCACAAAGACCAGACCTGTGTAAATGCTGTGAAATATACGCTTTCTTCATAGAACACTGAGGTGTTGCGTAGGCCCAAAATAATGTTTACACCCAACACACACCACAAGCAATATAAAACATCTCACACAACAATTAACTTTTCAACTCTCGTCCACCACAGACCGTGGAAGAGCCAGTCATCTTTCAGCATTTCAGATGTTGATATCTTGGGGGTTTTGAGCTCCCTTAAACGCACACCTTTTTTTTCACTCTGCAAGGGTATTTGTTTTAGGAAGACGATTTTTAGGGAATAAGAACTCTTTGGGTGTGGTCGATGAGGGAAACACCTAAAATATGGATGATACGGATCCTTGAGGGCTGCAGATGGTGACCCCTGATTTACAATTTACCACATAGACCAGAGAGACCTTTCAGTTCACTGAGTGATCCATTTTTGTTCCAGCTCCATCTCGGGAATATACAAATCGACTAGCTCTCACCTGGCACTTTCTGCCCCTTGGCTGATTGTCTGGTGAGGTGGTTGGCGCTGCACAAGTTTTTTTTTTTTTTTAATAATCTTTATTGAACAAGTCAGAATACAATTCTCAGTAAACAGAAAACAAAACGAACATGTTATTAATACATACATATATTACAAACGTTTAAACAAAAAAGAAGCCTGGGGATTTTTAGACAAAAATTTCAAATAAGGAGCATATAGCCAGAGTCTTAACAGCTTTCTTGTTTTTGGAATCCATAATAGAACTCAGGTACTGTTTTGTTTCTGCTTCAAAAATTAAGAAAATAGGTTTTGAATTATTCCATCTGGATTTGTGGATATGGAACTTAGCGAGAATGATTATTAAATTTATAATGAAGGTTTGTTTAGTGTTTTTTTCCTTACTTTTGTAGTACCCAAATAGTACATTTTTCCAGTATAGCATAAAGTCAGAGTCAATGTGTTCAATAATAAATCTGGATATAACTTTCCAAAATGTGTTGGTATACTGTACTGGCATTGCCAGAACAAGTGAACCATTGTTTCAGGGTACATTCCACAAAATGAACACTCAACAGGGATGTCCTTCTTGAACCTAAGAAGAACATGCTTGGTGGGATAGTATTTGTGTATCATTTTAAAAGTGGCGCTGCACAAGTGCGCGAGTTATTTAACTCGGGTGCGCGTGAACAAGATCTGTTGTTGACGCCTCCTCCTCGTCTTCCTTCTCCCGTGAGGCTCAGACAGCAGGTAAACGCCCCTCTGACAAGAACAATTAAGAAATACGCGGCAGAAGCAGCTTTCTAATCTCTGATCTCTGATAATACCCTCCCATGGCCGGGGTTTAGCTCTTGTGCCTGATTTTTTTTAACGCTTTCCATCATTCGCACTTCCGCGGCCCCATGCGTGCGCCCTGGATTTTTATGTATTCATTTTGCAGGATGGGTTAAGCATTCATTAGTTTTAACCTAGTTTTCATCTGCACTTTGGACGATTGTGGCTCTTTAATGGACCCACATGATGCATAATGATGATGATCTTTTGGGTACGGGATCGAGCGCTCATGCACTCGTGATGGATTAGCTGTGACTCCCCACAGAGCACCTGTTTAATCTCCCGAACACTCCTGAATTTGTTAGTCGCTTTTGACCTGCTGGAATGGAAAGCGTGCTGAGGCCCAGGGTGTGCTACCTGATCAAAACCGAACGCGGTTATGGATTCCACTTGCACGGCGAGAAGAATAAAGGTGGACAATTTATCCGAAAAGTGGAGCCCGGTTCGTCGGCTGACCAAGCCGGACTGAAACCTGGGGACCGATTGGTGGAGGTGAATGGCGAGAATGTAGAAAGCGACAACCATCACCAAGTGAGTTCCATCTCAGTGTACTGCGGCGCGGCCGCTTTGTTCCAACTCGCAGGTGGAGTTGGCTTTTGCGTGGAACAGAGCGACATCACCTCTGTGAGATGCAAACAATAAATCCGTACCTGTTGGACTACTTTTGTTTCGCCTGAGGAGGAGGAGGAGAGGGCACTTAAATGGGATAGTGCGAGCCTTGTGTAAAGGGGATCACTTGGTGTCATGTTGAAAATATGTTCTTTACAAAAACAGTTTGGCGGCACAGAATATTTGGCCTAACGAATGTATGTAGTATAAAACATAAAACCCATCAACAGGTATTAGATTATTGAAATGGCGTTGTCGTGTTTTATGTTCATGCATAAACAGCTGCGATTGGATGACAACCAGTTCAGGGTGTAGAGGGGTACACCTTGAACTGGTTGCCACTTCTGCTCCTGCCTGAACTTAGTTGGGACAGGGTCCAGCACGCCCATGACCCTTGTGAGGAGAACTAGATTGGAAAATTGATGGATGGCATAAACAGCTGTTGAGACATTAGAATCCCGATGATGCTAATAAATCCTTTGTCCTTGATTTAGATTGGTCTTTACAAGAGCCATTCAGGAGATGGGGCGATCTATCTAAACAATTTATTTACTGTACTGTACAGTCCACCCCCGCTATTCGTATGATTGACACCCATTGAAATGCACTGTGGAAAAAAAAATCACAATTAAACCTTCAGAATTCTAATAAACATTCAATACATGGAAATACAGAAATGTATTTAAAAAAATATTGGGGAAAATTTGAAGGACAAAACAAATCTGCATATGATGAGAAACCTTAGATGATAAACAATGGCACCACAGAAGGTCTGTGCAATCAACGAGACTGTGTTTTGTTGGAATGTCTTATTTTGTGGATCCGATCAATGACAGCACTGATCATCACCGATTTCTGCATGAACATGCAAAATATCTGCCAATATGAGCCAGCCAATCACATCTGTGGAAAGTTTAATTTAGGAGTCTTCAACCCTGAAAATCAGATAATTAGCAAGGTCTGCAGAAGTCGACATTCCTGAACTTTTCAATCAGGTGTGTTACAGCAGGGAGAGATGGAAAACATCCAGGAAACTGGCCCTGGAGGAATAGATTTGAAGAATACTGGTCTCATTTATATCAAAACTACACTCCAAATGGCATCCAAATGTACTTTTTAATTGCTTGAAAATGAACATGATCCAGAAATCCTTCTATGCCTAATTTCATCTTCTCTCAATTCTTTTAGTGATAACATTGTTACAAAAATTAGGCAGATGTTGTTGTTGACATAGATGTGAACATCATTTTAATTTGATCATGCTTTTTTTCATGATGAAACTAAATTACATCGATCATCTGAGTTATGTTCATGTTCGAAAAGTAGTTACAAGGTTTCTTCTTTAATGTTTTTTTTCTTGCCTTCATCACATAGTGTAGTTTTTACTCATTCACTTGTTCACTTGGTAGTTAAATAGTTTAGACCTGATCAATGTGCAAAGTACGTCTGTTGTGATGCCTTTCACTTTGTTGCCATCCTGTACAGTTGGCTGCACACATCTTGTGTAACAAATCCTTTTAGAACTTTTTGAGTTGTGCTTGTAAGAAACGGCATAAAAAAGAGCGACCCGCATCTCCTGTGTACAGGTGGTGGAGCGAATCCGCGAGGTACCTCATCGCACCCGACTACTGGTAGTGGACAGAAACACAGATGACTACCTTCACAGCTGCGGTGTGGCTTGCACAGAGGATTTGGCCATCGAGATCGGAACCCTCTCCCCACGTCTCTCACCGAGAGACACACCGTCAACTTCGCCTTTACCCCGGGTGAATTCACCCAAGTCCCCTCAACCTGACCACACACTTCTTGCTGCAAACTCGCCAACTTTTTCGATCTCACAAGGCAAAATTAAGAGGTCCTCTGTGACATCAAGTACTGTGACTGACATAGAGGTAAGCATTTTTTTTTAAAAATGGTCTCAATGGGAAGAGAACAGAAAAAGTGCACAATGGTATCTTTAGGGAGGAGGCATCGTGGTTAATTGGTTAGCACTAGTGCCTCTCATTGGAGCGTTCTGCCGAGACTTTCTGTTTTCAACGTGAAGCATTTAAGACTCAAAATCACAGATGTCAAATTTAAGGAGGGGCATTATCCAACCAAGCAGCCACATCATTGTATGTGCAATGTCCAGATTTTGGAGAGCAAATTAAAAAATAGACTGTTAAATCCCGTGCCTTCCGAGCTACGGTGTTAAGAACCGGTGTGTCGTTGATTACCCTTCTCTTGAACCGGACGTCTGCTCACTGAGACAGGAAATAATCTGGATTTAATCTCTGGTGCGTCGTCTGTATTCAGACTAAAAGTAGCGCCAGAACGTCTGGTAGCTTTTCTCTAAAGATGATAATGACCATCAACAAGGAGACAACACTTGAGAAGAGAGGGAAAACACATTCTTTGTCACACAATGCAACTTTTATTTGTGCCTTGTAACACTGTGTGCCTCAAAAGCTCTTGCGTGAGTGTAATATTTGTTTACAATGCAGTGTTCTCTGAGGTGTGGCCATTTCAATTTCTTTGTACTGTTTTTACTGTCTGACAGTGTTCTCTTTTTGCATACTGAGTGTTAACACCATACACATTTTTTCCCCACACCTCATTACTGTATTGAACTCAATCAAGTTTCCAACAAAAACAATCGGTCAAATTGTTTCTGAAGAGTTACTTATCTTCAACGTTTTTTGGGGTTCTCCCCCCCGAGAGCGACGAAGGTTAAAATGGAATATTGCAGTCCACTGTGATATCTTGGTCAGATTAAGAATTATGGTTCAGGGGTCATTTTAGGAGCCAACGACAACTCCTGGATTATTTATGTATTGAATTTAGTAGTCTTTAAGTGCATTTGTCCAGTATATTATACTGTATAAAGTATACTATATTTACTGTTCTCACATTGATTATGATATCCGACGGTGGCTTTTTAACTTTGTGAAAAATTGAGTATAAGGATGACTACGGATAGGGACTGTAGTTTTGTACTTGTACTCTGACTCATGAAACTGCTCCGATAGTACGATACAGCTACCATTTCACCAGCCTGACATATACCTTTGGGTAGGAGCCATGTCAGTGGTGTTGAGGCACTTTAAGGTAAACACAAATGACAGCACTTTTAGCTGACTGCAAATTACGCTTTGTAAAATGGATATTGTAATCAGTTCCGGTGATTGCCATGCGAGTTGCGGTGGCGAGCCATCCGGCAAGTGAGTTTCTGAAGCCCACGCTGCTAGCCGCAATCCCACCAAGAAGTTGTAGAGGAAGAGGCCAGGCCAGGCACATCCGCCACAGAGTAGCAAGCACCAGCTGTGCGTGACCTCAGTCCCGTTGTGAAGTGGAGATGTGCAAGTGTACCATGGATTGCGCTACACCGGGGCTAGCGTGGGCTATAGCCCAGGTCAGAAATCTAGGTAGGCCCAGTTCAGTCGTTTCAGAATTGTATTTAATATACAATATATCCATAAATTATTTTCTCATATATTTGTATGTAACAGTTTGGAGGGGTTTAGAATTGCATTACATCTGCAGCATTTCAAATATGCAGAATATAAGTAGGTAAGAAACCCAAATTGCTGATACAGCTGAATGCAGTGCCACACAGTTGAAGTTTCCATAGGCGGCACGCACAGATCTTCTTGTGACGTCTTGATTTTAGCTGACTTCAGAACACTCTGTCAGAGGTCTTTGTTTAGACTCCAAACAAAGTGGAGCTCGATCGTCAGTAGCATGGCTCAAATCAAACTGTCACCGTGTTTTGCAGAAGACAGGCTAAATAGTGGCGGCCCCTTGGCTGGTGGTTACAATTCTTCTTTCATAATCTTGGTTAAAATGACTGAGGTATAAACACATAGTAGACCACACACATCTATTACAATATTTATTACAGAATCATACAGTCAAGCAGCTTTTATTTTGAATCTATGTGCGTAAAACTTTTTCTGTGTCTGGTGGACTTTGAACCAAAATGTTGTAGTATTCGCTGATGACACACTGAATAAAAATAAAAATCTGTTACCATATAGCATTTTCAACACTGCAGACAAGCCAATTCCTCCGGTAGGATTTCTCTTCTTTGTGGTGTCGCTTAATGCTTGACATTTATCAAACACATCAACACAGACAAAATGTCATTGTTGCGTGAGGTTAGCAGACACCCAAATAAAGGCCCTTGTCGCCACAGTCTTGCCTGGATAGGTCACACATTGACCTGGCCACCACATAGTAAATAGTCTTATCCAAATCATGTGTTGAAACTACAGCAAATCAATAAAGCACATCTCTACTCAACAGCCTCCAGCAGTACTTTCCCTTTCTTTTGCCATTTGACTTTTATAAGTTCCGCTTTTTCAGTCGAAGATGAAAGTCAGCGTTTATTTCTCCTAAATGATATTTCTTTTCATGAATCATCACATGACTTTATGATCTTTCGCAAGTGTCATGGTATCATCATGATAGTTATTTCACTTTTAATGAGACCATAGAGTAGGATAACACAAGACAGTAAACCAGTATTCCATGTAATTCATGAGGCGTGTTAGAAAAGATCCAGGACCGGTGAGACTTAACTTTGCAAACTACTACTTTCTGCTTCAAAGTACAGTACTCGCTTGAGTCCAGTACACTTTCCCAGCCATCTTTGCCACTCTTGGAAGGATTCTTCCAGGATCCTCCGCAGTCCTGTCATGACAGCCATCTTAATTTCATCAATATTTTTGGGGGACAGGAACTGTCAGATGCTCAGGGCATTATGAGTGGGTGTATTGTCATCATGGAGCAGCAACAAGTTATCCTTTCACATCGCTTGCCTCTTCTCAAGCAGTGAACGAAGCAACCACAAAAAGGATCTTTTTAGAGACGTGCTGGTTTATCATTTTACAGTGATGGCCAACTTATTTATTTATTTGGGGGGGATGGGCATGGCAAATTTTCATTAGCGCTTCTAGGGGGCCAAATAGGCCCACGCACTTCCTAACAGATGAATGACAAAAATGGCATTTTAAATACGTGCATGTTTGTTTGTATTTACATAATGTACATCACAGTATCTTTTTCATGCTCAATACAAAATGATCCAGTCTTCAACAACAAAGCGTTTGAAGAATTAAAAACAACCACATACCGTGATTATTTTTTTTTCTTTTTCAGTGCAAAGAGCTCTCATGCACAAAAATTAGCTTTCAAGGACAGCACAAAACTGATGAACAGCCATCAAACAAGCCATTAAATGCAAGAACTCATTTTAATTTTTTTCCACAAAAAATACTGAGGGAAAAAAAATCAGAGAATGAATCAGCGGGTGCTTAACAGCAGTATGAGGGGGTGTGCTGTAGAAGAGGAAAAAACACATAATATTACATTTTTGAAAATTAAACAATGGGCCACTCAGGCTGCTCTATGGCAAGAACATGCAGTGAACGATGCTCCTGACATTGAAATCGCAATCAACATGACTTTGACTTTGGATTTCAACTGTCTGGCTTTCTTGGGCCTTGGCGACATCAGACTCTTCCACAAAAGACTCTGGCGTTTGGTCTCTCGGTCGTACTTGAAGATCCATGACTCATCACCAGTGGTGACTCTCCCCAGCATATTTGGTCTCATTTGTCTCATCATCACTCACTCTGCTCTTTGCTTGACGACCTGACACAAACGATATGTAGCCTACAACATTTAAAAAAGCATGTGGAAAAAAAGTTCAATGGCTGAAGGTCTCAGTCACATGTGTACTTCCGGGCGATTGAATTGAAGGGAAAAGCTTGTAGTTGTGCCATTTTTTATTGAATGAAAGTTGTTTAAATGTCCCCAAAAAATTTTGGGGGTGAATTAAAATCAGACCGAATTTGTTGATTCTCTCGCCATGCCATTTTCTACATGAAAAATTATGTGCAGACTGTTTTTTGTGGTTATTGTACAGCATGTATCTTAGCTGGGTTGACAAAAATAGCAATCAGCTATTTATGTGATTGACATCTGTAAATCATGTCACAATGGCATCCAGAAGTGTCACCAGAGCGATCCAATATGTTATCCTTTCCTTTGCCAGAGCATCAAAATTGTCTGTCAGTGTGTATGGATTATAATATAAACGACCAACTCAACCGGTACCTCCTCAGGGTGATGCAAAAAGTATTTAATGGTTACATAAGTAAATGTGCGTGAGTACATGTGTTTACTGTTGATGGATCAGGAAGGACCTTGACAGTTGTCACAAAGCCCGCATGTTGGCTTATACCGACCGTACTGTCGTGGTTCTCATAGCACCATAGCTAACGTTAGTGCATCTAATCTCAGGACAGTCACCCCCCACCCCCATTCACTAGCCATTATGAATAACTGCTCCATTAGATCAACATTACCTACAGAGACAACAGATTATGCGAGATGAGCCAAAGCATTCTGACCACCTACACATTACAGTGTAAAAAAATCCTCGAACACACCTGTATCAAATATTTTTCAAATTTAAATTGATCGATAAGACCTTACTTTTGTGAAGGTTTTGTGTTGGATGTTATCTTTTGGCTGGTCAGTGCACAATAACAGTTTGGACACACTATCTCATTCAATAAAATGAGAACACTTTTGACTGTTATATTTCCTGAAGTTCTGCATTTGTTTGACAACCAATCCAGGGTCTGCCATCAGTAACCCTAATGAGGACATGCACGATAGAAAATGGATGGATTTACAGAAACCATGATTAAAATGAGCTTTTTCCTTGACAACATTGGTAATATATTCCTCATTTGTTTTACCCAGCTACAGATGAAGGCCTCTCCAGAGCCGTCGACTGAGCTCCTTCCCCGCCTGTGTCATCTGATCAAGGGGGAAATGGGCTACGGCTTCAATCTGCACAGCAATAAGGCAAAGGGTGGACAATTTGTACGCTCGGTGGACCCACATTCACCTGCAGAGAGAGCTGATGTCCGCCCGGGAGATCGACTGGTGGAGGTGCACGCGTGCACACACAGACGCATACACAGGATCTTCTATACCGCTGTTTTTTCCTTACCAAATTGACCTACATGTCAAGTATGGAGTCAGGGAACTCAGACACACCGCTTTCCTGACTAATCAAGTCTGTGCACTGAGTTGCCAATTTGCTTTGTGGCTGAATTAAAGCAGATTAGCTGGAATTGTGTTTTAGACTAGAACTGAGAGCGATAGTGGGTGAAAGGCTGAAATTTTTACATTGGATAAGATTAAACGGAATGGAGGAGAGCAAGACTGTTGTTTTTAAATGTATCTGGTAAGCCGGCAGAAGTTACACACCTTTATTAGTGACGTGTGGAGGAAATTCTGTCCCGCAAATCAACCTGCCTCTGCTGAAAATGACAAATTTAAATCGGTTTATGTTCAGTAAGAAGAGACGAGCCCCCCGCCGGTCATGTTGTGTCATGGCTACTTCCTCCTAATCTCTGCTCTTTCTAATTAGCATCACTTTATCCTACTTCCCGCTGTCCTCACGGTTTCCTTTTCCATGTCTCGTTTCTCAGGTAAACGGAATGAACATTGAGCATCTGAGACATTCTGAGGTGGTGGCGTTCATTAAAGCGGGGGAGCAAGAAGTGCGCCTCCTGGTCGTCGACCAGGAGACAGACGAGCTTTTCCACCGATTGGGGATCACACCCACAGCATGCCATGTATATTTTCAATTTTTGGTGACTAAAGTACTGACACTTTTTGTACGCTACTCAGGTAGAAGTATAAATGCTTGTGTTAAAAAAAGGACTGGTAAAAGTAGATGTACTGATTCAGTGAAGAAACAAGCCTACTTTGAAAAAGTCAGGAATTCAAAGTAACGATGTTTTGTACACTGAAGAACATGCTAGTTCTTTCAATGAACTTAAAAAAAATTATGGAAATCATTTTCATATAGTTAAATGGTTTTCTTTCAACACAATCGTTGGGGCAACGTCATTAACTGTAGCATGATTAATTTAAGTAAATTACAAGGTTTGGGTCTAACCTCATTTCCTTGGGGTCAGTGAACTTAACGTATTTAAGGTTTACTTATGTACCGGTAGGTAATATTTACATGTGCAGGCAATCAGTCTTCAATTAACTTTCCATGTAGGTTTGTGGAATGAGGAAGGAAAACACTGCAGAGTACTCATATAGCACACAGGCACAGGGAAAACATGCAAGCTCCACACAGGAAGGCCAGAGCCCAGATTTGAACCCATTAACAGATTTGAAATTATTAACTTACAAATTACATTGTTAGATTCAAGTAAATGAAACAGACAGCCAATATCATTTTTTTTGTGTGTGTGAGGAAAAATGGTTGGAAAAAAAAATAATACTCAAGTATGGTAAATAAATGGTATTAACTTTAGTACTGTAACAAAGTAATGATACATCTTTGCTTTACATGCAAAAAATGTCCCTTGTTCGATACAAAAGTAGCATGGAAGCAGGAGAACGTTGAGAGTTTTCCATTCCTTCTAAATAAATAAATAAATAATCAATCAATCATGGAAAGGATTCAGGTTCAAATCTCGGCTCAGGCATTTCGGTGTAGAATTTTCTTCTTTGTGTACGCGTTTGTATGAATTTTCTTCTGGTACTCTGACTCCCTCCCACATTCCAAAACGTCAATTGCCCATAGGTGTGAATGTTTCTCTTTATTTTTTTCCCTTGGAGTACAGTGAGGTTTTGGGTTTGAATTTTGGCTCCAAGCCCTCTTGAATGGACTGTGCACGTTCATCTTTATTCCAGCTTCCTCCCACATTCCAAAAACATGCATGTTAATTGAAGACATCTCATATTTGTTCTGCCTGTCATTACAGGTCACTGGTATCGATACTGTAGATAAAAAAAAAAAAAAAGATACATTATTTGTCCAATCCAATTCCCAGAGACACACCCGATGATCTCTTCTATTCTAAAATGTGTGGAATTACTGCATTAGGCATTTTGCCAGCATTTTTACATTCGGGCATTCCGTTATTTGCAGGTCTACAAGGATGAATCAGCTGTGGAACCTGTGTCGTCTGCCCCTTCTCCCACCTCCACTGAAGCGCCAATCATACATGTCACACTGACAGATGCTCCCGTCACAAATATGTCCCCCAAACAGAGGACCAATGGGAGTTGTGCATCCCATTCCTCAACCAGCTCTACCACTCAATCAGAGCTCAGTAGCTCTGACATGAGTTTCCAGGTAAGAAAAATGTGCGCATTTGCACATGAGCGTTGACGTACAGAACATCTGTGTGTGTGTGTGTGTGTGTGTGTGTGTGTGTGTGTGTGTGTGTGTGTCTGTGAGGTCCCCGATGAGGATGACAGAAGGGTTTTGGATCCTTTCATGGACAGCGGCCTGCGTTTGAGTCCTACAGCGGCTGAGGCAAAACAAAAGGTTCTTGGTAGACGCAACAAAAAGAGGGCGCCCCCTATGGACTGGAACAAGAAACAAGAGATCTTCAGCAACTTCTAATGTCACAGAGGAGGAAGCATGCAAAATACAAGCCTGATTTGTGACTAAAATGTTACTCATACAGCATAGTACTGTACTCGCTCATGCACAACGAAGGACAAAGTAATGCAAGCAAGTATCTGACACTAACATATCGTGACAGAGTGATATTCTGGACCAAAAGATACTTTGAGGAATAGTTTCAGATTTTTTTTTTCTGCCTGGCTCTAATTTTAAGATTCAATAAGATTCTTCTAGAGTTGCTTTTGGAAGGGTTACTACAGGCCACCCTCAGATATCAGATTAAGGTCAAGAGATAATGCTGGCCACACGATGAGTTGTTCTCTCTTTTAACGATTAGATGACATAATTTAATCGCATGTTTTACGGCGTGGAATCGGATGTCTTGCATGAAAATTATTTTACTGCAGAAGTCAAAGTTCTTTTTATGCCAAGGCAGGTAATGTTAAATACATTATATCGCAGAGATTATATTGACACCATCAGGCACCCTAAATGGTAATCAATGATCTCACTCCCCATTCTTCCATGCCAAAACATCTCTCCATGACCTCATAGCCGATGTTGCAGCCATGTTGGCTATTTACCAACAATTGTCTTCTGTCAATTGTGTTTATATGTCCACTGCACACGTTTGATCATTGGATAGAGGTGGCTGAAATACAGCTATAAGTCATCGCAGGATTCCACATCACCTTCTTGGAATGCTCGAGACACCAAAAAGGCATCATATACTGTATATTGTTCCTGCTTGATGCTCATCAATGGATTTTCTTAATACACCTTTATCAGAACGAACCAGTTGGAAATGTTCAGTTTTCATTCCCTATGTAAGGCCTTGGACTATTTTGTGACTTTCATCAGCAGAAACATCCTTTTCCCCCATTATACATTAAAAAACACACCTCAAATGTGGAACAAAACCCTTAATATTATATATATATATATATTCATAATATTCATACAGAAAACTCAGAAAGTTGAGAAATATAATTTTAATGTTAAGAACCCAGACTTTATTTTTTACCTGCAGCCCAAAAACAGACAAGGCTCAGGCATCAACCATTTAGCGTGCACTAATTTATTTCAAAACTCCCACTTTGGTTCAGCTTTTTGATTTAAGCACATAAGTGATTTTAAACTCAGAAGCACAATTCCCATCTCCCACCAGGTGAGACGACCGACTGAAGTCATTAACACAACAAAAACGTATCAGTCTTTCCATCAAACATCATGCTCTTTATTATGGACGCAATGTTTAGAAAATAATTTTAAAAAACATCCTCTTGACATCTCACTTCCTTCCTCACTTCTTCCCATTTTTTTGGCACTGGTTTGTAAAATGTTCAAAATAAGACACTAAAATAAAAAAGACATCATTTTGTACAGGAGTTAAAAGTAATTTGATTGTGTTAATAAGAGCTGACTGGAGTTTGGATTGTCTTATATTTCAAGATAAAAATTTGAATCTCAGTGGTCACAGTTGTGGTCAAACAGACTGCTATGTGACTGCTTGTGGCAAGCGCCTGCAAAATGTCAATTAAAAAAATCGCTTACCATCATAAAAGTGATGAAATTCACCAAGCCTCACTCTCTGCGAGTGTTTTTTATTTCTATTGCTTTTCGAGTGCTTTCCTACCTTTTCTTTGTTTTTTTTTTTTCTTTCATAAATAAACTGCTGCAGTGTGTAACGCCCAGTTGTATTGAATCACCGTAAAATACATATCAAGCATTCACGGAGTGAAAACACAGGCAGGGCGCATGCTCACAGAATAGGCCGGCAAGCTACTCACCCCTACAATGAAAGTACACTTTCACGCATCATACAAACACCCTCAATTATTTAAATCATGCTTCAAAGGCAAACAACTTCTCATGCAGGATCTCTCCAATCGGCGCGCATACATTCACAATCAGACAAGCAATATGGCAAGGTTAGTCATTGTAAAAGTGCGGATTAGTCGCAGTTTCACAAAGTTGATTTTATTTGCCATTTAGTATTGGGATATTTTTTTTTTTTTTGCAAGTCAAAGACACATAAGTTCACAGTGCAGAATGACAGAACACTGACATTAGGATAAACACATATGGGTACGGTAAAAAAAAAAAAAAAAAGTCTGTACAAAAAAGGTAAAACAATATAAGTGCAAAAACAACTCATCAGGAACTGAAAAGGAGCATTTGTGTTACTATGTAATTTCTTAACAAGACATCAGTAGCAGCAAAACAAAAATAAAAAAAATTGGACCAGATGTAAAACATCATAGATATTTGCTTAAACTATCAATATGGCAGCAAATGGATCTCAATACAAACATAGAACTGAACAACACACACACACACACGCACACACACGCAGTTATACACACACAAAGTCACAGTTAACAGGTGCCAAGGACATTGCGGTGGGAGTCAAGTTTAAGCTCAGTACCATGTCAAAAACAAAGCACAATTTAATTGGCGGACACAAAACGGCGAAGGATTTACAAATTCCACATGCACGCACATAGATTTCTCTACACACAATTAACCCTCATGAACACAACCAAGGGTGTGATTCTTTTGCGATGATTTTCCTCCCCTTTGGTGCGAAAACAGATGCGTTAGCCCTAATCCTCCCTTCATGGAGGAGTGGCGATTGTGAAGCCACAAAGAGACACAATAGAGGCTATTCTCTCTCTTCAGATCAGGTAGAAAATGTGACCCCCCCCCCCCAAAATGTCTCAAATGGAAAGTTGTGTGAAGCAGCAATGTGGTCAAAATGAAGGTAAGAAAACATTGATGGCGGATCGTGAGGTTATTCGACAGCTATGTAGAATTTGGACACAACAGATGAAGGAAGTCACTCTTATTGAATCCTATTACCCCGCAAAGTATGATGTCACCCTGAAAGCGAACAAAGTTAAGACACCTGTCTGTCACTAACTGCATGCAAGTTGTAAAAAGTCCAAAGTATAGTGCCACCCACAGTCAAATCCAAGTACTGCATATGCAGCATAATGTGCAAGTGATTTTGTGTCTAGAAATGTCAGTCGGTCTCATCTGTCTGTTGGTCTGTTGGCTACTCTTGCAATTAAGAATCCTGATTTAAAAAAGAAAGAAAGAAAAAAAATCGCACTGTTCCTGCCCTCCCAGCCCGGTAACAGACGTTGCCCTGTGGCTTAGATTCCCTGCGTTGTTAATGAAGTCCCTCCCTCTCGTTCCCTGAACGTTCTCTATGCCGGCCTCTGTCCCTGCCACCCTCATATTCGCCATGTTTCCATGGTTCCGACGCATCTTTCGGTCCCTCGCTCTGTCCCTACCTGTTAGTTTTTCTGTGTCGGGTCCCTGCCTATTTAATCTAGAGGTGTGTCCCCCTGTCCCTCCCATACCCTCCCGCCCACCCATCGTCTATGGACAAACACATAAGGGCATGGGGGCCGTCCTTCAGGGGGAGCGGCCATAAGCGTCCCTCTCCCTCCCCCCAGATCAGGGCAGTGCAATACACAGATGGATGAGTTTCCCATTCACCCTCCTCCTGCTGGCTCACCTGCACAGACAAAGCAGAGTACACAACAAAATAGGTTTTTTTGGGGTGATGTTTTTTTTTTTTTTTTTTGGGGGGGGGGGGGGTCCAACATGAATAACGATGTGGAAAGAGAGATGAGTACATTTATGAATAAACAATGTTTGATTGCAACCTCTGCTTTTCACCGATTACCGAGCAGCGTGCCTTGAGAAAGCATCACGTACGCCATGGGGAAATTGAACAATTGTACTTAATTGGTCTGAAAATCATTTACTTTTTACAAGTTCATCTATCCTTTGCCAGCGCCGTACAGTGACAGGCAGAACGATTCCACTAGATGGCAATTAACATGTACATTTACTTTTTAACTTTTATCTTTATACGCTTGTCCTCTCGGGTGACGTAGGTGGTGACTTACCAATTTGTTTCCTGTCCTATGTAGCTGTGTAGCATTAGTTTGTACAATTTTCTCTCCTGACACATTCATTTGCCTGTTATTCTGCTGTTCAAAGTTGGTCACTCTCCGCTATCACGTGGTTCCAGCCATGTGTAATGCATCACCTCTGCAATTGCGTCATGATAGTTTAGCAACTAGCATTGCTCCTTTTTTCTTTTTCACATCCTCGTTTTGTGATAACGCTACTGGTTAGAAGTCTATCTTATTCGCTGTCATGCAAACGATGATTAGCGACTTGTGACGTGTGCTGTGTTGACACCGAACGCTGAGTGAACTTGTGGCAAGATAGCAATCACCAAGCTTGCCCCGATTTGAAGAGCAGAAAGCAGGGAGGTTGGGCAACTGTGTAAAGTTGGACGCACATGATTTTATTTGTATTTTTTGTAACAAAGTACTGTTAATTTCAGTGTATTAATTTATGTAACGTATACTGGCCAATACTTGGTGGCCCGACACAGCGCTGAACTGGTGATAATGTTGGACGCTGAATTTCTTTTAAATATCCGAAACAATCAGCATTACGGACTTGGAATTCAGAAATTTCCAGAACAAAATATGGACAGTTCGTAACATTTGGCAGCTCCGCAGCAGACATTTCATATTTTGTGTAGACATCGAGTAGAGTCACCTCTTGGATGGGTGTAATGGCTTTATACACCATAGCAGGCTGCCAGTCGCTCCTTCAGCAGAGGGGGAAACTGCTCGGAGAACTGCTGCCAGTTCTCCTCTCCAACCTGCTCCTTAAAACCATGCAGGATCTGTTTG